GAATGCGTTGCGGTGTGCGCTTAAAGGGCCTCTTAACCTTTGACCGAAATTATTTTGTTTCTGAATCGCTCGCTCGCGCGCGCTTCTCCCCTCTCATCATGGTGCACAGCGCCGCCGGGCTGCTCTCCCGCCTTCTCTCTTCCACTCGCGATCTTTTTCGCAACGGCCGGTATTCGCTTCACGCACAGTGTATATATACTGTATTGTTCACGCGGTCAAGCAGACGACGGCCAATTGGTGTCAATAATGCGTCTGACAGTAGTATATTATCGTGAGCGGGGAAGGGCAGGACGGGCCGGACCTGATCGCCCACTCGGCAGCGAGCACTCGCAATAACTTCAGCGTGGGTCATTGACTCGAAAACCATGTGTGTGCGATGGACCCGGTAATGTAGCGTCATTTTTGTCGATGTCCGAACGATAGATTTATTTCTTTATTTAATTTTCCGGCGTGTATCAAGTTATGTGAAATTTAAGATTTTTTACTTCGAGCGGGTTATGTATCCTGCCAACTCGGGAAGGTGCAGAAGGCTGCCGAATATAGCCGGATACTGAGTTCGCTCTCCTGCGCTTTCTTAAAGATGATGTCAGTGATGATACAGTCGATTTAGTCCTGGGAAGCCATTGAAGCTAAAGCTGAGCAAAATGATTGCCCGAATGAGTACTGAAGCGGGCTTCAAGCTGGTTTCAGTGAAATCAGATTTTCCAAATCAAATTACGGGTTAGCTTCAGCTTCATTGGCTGCAACGAGATTATATCGATCATCGTAACAGCAAGTAAAGGTGGCCTAACCTGCCGACGAAAATGACTTCATGTCATCACCTTCTGTTGCAGATCACCTGGTGCGGCTGGCGCGCTGGTCCGAGAGCAAGACGCTCTCGCTGTTCGGCCAGGTGTACCAGCGCATGGCCGTGCTCGCTCGGGAGCCCATCCACCAGCTCTACGCCGACATCGTCCGCTACCTGGACACGCCCCACGGCCTCGAGGGCATCGACGGCGCCAACCAGGGCGCCGCCGAGCCCGCCTGGCTGTCGTCGCCGCCGCAGGGCCCGTCCATGACGGACTCTGTCAACCGCTTCTTCGCCAAGCTCTTCCCGCTCACGTTCCTCACCACGGTGGCCCCGGTGAAGAGGGTGAGTTGATGGTGACGGCGCGTGTCCTCAGGCTGACGCCGTCCACTTGTCGGGTTAGGCCGTACCGGCCTGCAGCGCTGGCGGGCGGGCCTGCCCACCTCCACGGCGCCCCGCCGGGCTTGCCAGCGAGTGCGAGAGAGAGGCCGGTGGTCTAGACGTGCTGCCCTCCTCTCTCGCACTCGCCACAAGCCCGGGCGGAATAGAGGACGCGGCGCGGCGGCGCGCAGCTTGGAACCGCGCCGAGACCCTGCTGACAACGGTGACCTTGTCCTCAGGGGGGCGACCGGCCGCAGCGGCACTTGGACCCCACGTACGAGAAGTGCCTCTCCTCCAAGATGGCCGAGGTGCAGCCGTTCGGGGACGCGCCGCGCGCTCTTGCGCACAGCCTCGGCCGCGCCCTGGAGGCCGCCAGGGTGCTCCTCGGCGTCCTGAGGATCGGCGCCGGCGTCCTCAACACGACCGACTCCTTGCTCATCGACAACGACGACCTCAGCGGGTGAGTGGGAAGGCAGAAAAGGCGGGTGGAGGGATCTATGGAGGGCGTCCCTCGCTGACGGGGTGCTCCTGCTGCCCGCAGGTCGCCCTGCCCGGCGCTGCTGCTGCGCCTGTGGACGTGCCCCCGGTGCGCGGGCCTGGGCGAGGCCGTGCGGCCCTGCCAGGGCTACTGCCTCAACGTGCTGCGCGGCTGCGTCACGGCGCGGGCCTCGGAGCTGGACCAGCCCTGGTCGGCCTTCGTGGAGGCCGCCGCCAAGCTGGCGGGCTCCGCCGCGGCCGCGCCAGCCTTCCCCGGCCGCCCCCGGTCGGCGGCGCGGGACGCGCCCTACCAGCTCAACGCCGAGGAGGCCATCCGTCAGATGGAGAACAAGATCTCCGAGGCCATCATGTTCGCCATGGAGAACGGACCCGGCGTCGAGAGGAAGGTGAGTCCGCGAGGGTAGAGCGCGGCGGGTAGCGCCGGGGGGTGAGATTGCACGCTGATAAGAGCTCGGCCGGGGCGCTGGGGTGCGCGAGAGTGAGAGAGACAGAGTGAGACCGGGGAGAGTGTGTGTGTGGGAGAGAGAGAGAGAAAGCAAGGCGCTGCCGCAGAAGTTCCCTTTGAAAATTTACGGTCATGTTGTACACATTTGTAATTCCTCGTGTAACCTCGCCGACCCCTCCCCTTTTCCCAGCCCGGTGATTTGCAGCTCGGAGATATTTCTCTGGTGATTTGCAAGCCGAGGGGGAGTCTGGTTGGGGGGGGGGGGTTGCAGCTGAGGGAGTGGCAGTGCAGGAGAGGGGTGGGGGTGCGGGGTGGAGATGTTGGAATTAAAGGTCCTTCTCGGCGCCCGCCTAATGATAACACCGTGAGCGCCTGGTGAAGCTGGCGGGCGGCGCGCGACCGAGGTCGGGGAGAGGCCGAAGGGGTGGCGGCGCAGGGGGCAGGCGGCGGGGGGCGCAGAGGCCAGCGCAAAGGGCCAGCGCGACGACGACGGGGAGACGAGGCCCGCTAGGAATAGACTCGCCGGCGCCCCGAGGCGCGCGGGCGGGCTGGGCTGGGCTTGCCCCCGCTGTTGCGGTCGAGCTCGGTGCGAGCCGAGCACAAAGTGTGTTGCTGCTGCTGCAGCCGCGGCGCTGGTAGGGCGCTGGCCGCGGGGCCCCCTAGACCCGGTGGACCGTGCTGCTGCTGGTGGTCGTTGTGGTGGTGGTAGTGGTGGTGGTGGTGGTGGTGGTGGTGGTGGTGGTGGTGGCGGCCCCGTTGTTGGACCGTATGGACCGCCACCGCAGCGTCGACGGTCGCCTTGTCGCGGCTTGCCGCTGGCGGGGGTGCTTGTCGGCGCGTGACGACGCGCGGGCTCGGCAAAGGTCACGTGACCGACACAATGCTTACCCCCCTCCCCCTCCCCTCCTCCCCATCCCCTCCATGCGACAGGTGCGCTTCGCCTGGTCCTGGCGGCGGGCTCTCCTCCCTCCCCCGACGCGCCACCGCCGCCGCGACGCCCGGCTTTGTCAGATTCATCATCGCTGCGCATCAGCGAATCATAAATTCGCGTTCCGCAGAGTCCTTTATTC